AGCTTAAAAAACAAGGAGGAACTCAAACTCTTACCATCAAAAAGATCGAATATGAGAAATTCGACACTTACGGATGAAAATACTAATCACTACAGATACCATCGATATATTCATTATTTTCTTTATTCAAATTAAATAGCTAAATTCTAGAAAAATTATAAACCCAGAAACTTAGGTGAATATATTTACGTCAGATGGGTTATGTGGATATTATAGTAGTTTCAATGGTTAAGATCATGAGTCAGTTGAAGCTAGACCACCATGGAAAACCTGGGAGAACTGGACGGCCGTTTCGTCCCATTATGGGACTCCTCAGCAGCGCGCATCCACAACCTCCCCCCCTGCGAGATCCGAACCCAAGACCTACTGGTTTCGCGCGCCAGCACTTAACCACTAGACCATTGAGCCGGCATCCAATGGTGTTAATGTCTAACTTCAACTAACCCACTAAATTGAGCGACACATCCACCACTGTCTTCAGTGAGTTACTATCTCACAACAGACCTGGTTGAACTCCACTGGTCACTACTTCTCACTAGAACTCCAGGATATACCCCTTGAAGCCAGTCACAAGCAAATAAACACAGTGAATAATGCATAAATCTCAATATTTATTCTAGTAAAAAATTTTCGAAACAAACATCTTTAGACCAATTAGTCCCTGTAATAAATTTCGATATTGAAATAAGAAGACCAAAATTATCAGAACTATGTGACGGTATATTAGCGCAATACATTTCGAACAATATGATTGCAGAAACAAATAGAATCAAGTGACCCAATAAGAGTAGAGGATAAACATCCATCATCCTCTATTGCCAAACACATAATTGAAACAGGTCATAAGATTGATCTTAACTCGGCTTTTGTGGTGTTGTACAAAAAGTGTAAAAGGGCGCATACTTAGGTTTATTGAAGCTTTAGCCACACGAAAATTCAAACCCCCTTTGTGTATTCATAATCAGTTTGTTCTCACCTAAAACCTACCCTGGTAATATTGGCTTGTTATCCAGAGTGATTAGGTTTTAAATTGTATTCACATTATTATTATTACTCTTATTATTATTATTATTATTATTATTATTATTATTACGACCTATTTTTGACATGTCGAGTTCACCATACCACTGAATCGCCAAATGGTTAGCGGAAAAATTGGAACCGGTTAGAACCCAAGTATCTAAATATTCTATTCATGATACTTTTCAATTTATTAATCGTATTAAGGACATTAATACTTCCGGAAAACACATGTTCTCGCTTGACGTTAACTCTTTGTTCACTAGCGTACCTCTAACCGAAACGATATGTTATATATGTGAGTATATAGATTCGAACAACATAGATCTAGGTTTACCGACTGAACACTTTAAAGAACTATTGTTACGCTGTACTTTTAATGTCCAATTCAATTTCAATAATGAAATATATAGACAAAGGGATGGGGTCGCAATGAGGTCTCCATTGGGTCCAATTTTAGCAGACTGTTTCATGGCAAAAGTAGAAAACGACCAACTCCGTTCAATGATCAATCGATTTCACCTATAGGTGAAATACATGGACGACACGTTTGTCGTTTGTAAAAATAATATTGATTTAGATGATATTTTACACACTTTTAACTCATGCCACCCATCCATAGACTTCACGTTAGAAAGGGAACGAGACCAATCAATTCGTTTTCTCGATGTACGTCTGATGAGAAGGAGTAATGGTTCTTTAAAAAGATCCGTCTTTAGAAAACAAACATGGAATGGCCAGCTAACCAACTTCTATAGCTGGGTCCCGTTAAGTAGAAAGAGAAACCTTATCCATTCTTTATGTTATCGAATACACTAGATATGCAGTACGGAATGCATTCCTCAAGAAAACCCTGACGAAAAATGGTTACCCAGAACGGTTCATAGAACAGAATCTAAATAGAAGTAGTTACGACAAGAAATCTAGTTGTTCCGTTCCGAAGAAAAACCTTTATATAAGTCTGGAATTTAAAGGTGATCGAACATCAAACGTGATCAAAAATCGTCTAACAACAACGATTAGAAGAACATTTAATGCAGCTAAACTGCGAATAACTTATTTTATGTATCCATAAAAGATAAGCTTCCGCGTCTGGTCGCCTCTGTGTGCATCTATCAGTTCACCTGCTCTTGTGGAGCAAGGTACATTGGCCGTAGCCAACGCTCGCTTTCAACTCGGATACGGGAACATATTCCAGCTTGGTTCTATAAGGGTGAAAGGAAAGCAGTTAGGAGTTCTATACTCGAACACCTAATCGACTGTAACCATTCTACAGATCCACAAATTGATTTTAAGGTTGTTTATATGATTCGTCCAAATCTACCTAGATTTTTTGTATCCAACTTTTAAAAAAAGCCGAAGCTCTTACCATTCAGGAGCTTAAACCAGAACTATGCGTACAAAAGAAGTACGTCTTATCGCTATCGTTACCTTGGCCTTAAATATTTTGATCATTCTATTATTATTATTATTATTATTATTATTGCATTCCCCCTTTACTTATGTCTTATATTCCCATTGTTTTCATTCGTAAATACTCATCATATTACCTTATTTATTTATTTTACACCTCTATGACATTTAATTATTATTAAAAAAAAAAACATTTTAATCATCTCATTATATTCACTAAATCTATTGCTATTATTCGTATTGCGTAATCTAGTATTATAATCTTTTTATTACGTCATGGTTTACTGTGTTCACATTTCCTCACGGAATTACAAAATTTTCATATATATACGATTGTACAGCTTGATAATAAATTCATCGAAAAGAGATCCCTTCGCTGAACTTCGTGTTTTTTATTATTATTATTATCCTTGTCTCTTCTTACTCCATTTCCAGTCTAGTTGATCTTTTGTTTCTATATATAAATGTTCTTAACAAACATATGTATATGATCAGATTGTTCGAAATGTATTGCGCACATAGTTCTGATAATCTTTGTCTTCTTATTACATTATCAAAAAACATCTTTAAATAAACTAAATACTTGACTAAATTATTTTGTACTATGCCCTACATATTAAAGAATCATAATTGTTTGATGTTTTTTTTATACCAATCCATTACACAAACTTTATTACTGAATTTATCACATACTCTTTTGATGTTATCTATATATCTTTCATTAAAACAAACATTTTAAGTTATATTTTCAACAAGGATGGTTAGTAAATAACTGCAAATAACAATATAATATTCAATACATTTTGTATTGTTTATTTGAATCTTCCCATCGGTTTTTAGGACTACAATTAATCAATCTCTTATTGATATGTGTGTATCTTGTACAGATTGCCCTGATAGTGACTTAAGTCACAAGCATTACAAACGAAGATGGTTAGTAAATAGCAGTGGAATTCAGGACTCACGTTGCGTCCTATTTTGGACTGATCAGCTGGATGTACCTACATCCCATATGCAAGTAAATCCAGCGCGTTCTGGATTCCATGACTAGCTACAATCCATCTTTGCTTAGAATATAACACTTTTTTACTGGAAATTTATCACTGACTAAATTAAATTAAATATTAAAGGGTTGCAGTAGAATATAAAAAAATTGTCTACAAATGCATACTGAATAGGGTAAAGGTTATTCCTTAAATTATTCTTAATTGGATGAGATATTAGTTAATCAACTGTTGTATGTGTAGGTTATATACATGGTAGGTGTAGTATCTATGTTCTATAGTCATTTTTATTACTTTTATACAAGCAAGGTTTACTCCGTGATGTCGGATATAAATATAAATATGTGCAAATGAAAAAACAGATAGACTATTCAGTGAGGAGTATGTACAGAAGGTGTACTCTGTACATTTATAAGAACCGTATAGAAGCCTAATAATGTTAATAACTCTGGTGAATTTTGTTTCCAAAACAAACATCTACATCAATATACGATTCAAAATTGTACCATACAACTCTATGTTAAAAGTAAAGATCAGATCAAGTTTATAAGACTTACCACTCAACGAACATCATTATGTATGAACAGATAAGATTCCTACTTCTACGAAGACCCGAAGGCATATAAACATTTACGTAATATTTTAAATGGAAAGAACGTTTGAGTAAATAAGCTAAGAGTTGTTGTATCCTATGCCCCATCAAATATCACATGACAAAGTCACCAATGAGAATACTGGTCCATATGACCTTGTTCCTCGGCTTAACCAATGACACGTCAAGCAGAACCACCAGTCTTGAAACAACTTTGAATCTTTATTGGTTCTTGATGTAGTAGCTTCTCGTTTAGTCCAGCCCATTCAGTTTAAATCACAATCTCAGCTTCCGCTGCATGAATCACATTTCAGACATACGTGGTTTGTATACGAGTTAACCAGACTTCATGAAGCCAAAAGTAACTGTGAGTGTAGAATACTGTAACTGATAAACTGGGAATAAGCTAAGAATAATAAATCGCATAATAATAGCCAATAGGCCAAATGGAATCTTATGATAAAAAGTATATATAATCCAGTCACTTAATAATTATCCAATAGGAATATATGTAATAATAGTCCATTATTTTTCGTTTGGGTAAAACAAAAATAGACTATTTTTCCTATATTGATCTTTCTTATTGTTCTGTTAGATGATCATCCGATTCAGATAATGATATGTATTGTTACTATACACAAGTCCAACCTATTACGCAAGTGTATAGACACGAAGTGAAGAGGAGGCTTTACTAATAAACTGAACTATAGTGCTACTAAACTCATGAAAAATGGGATGGGTCGTATTATTAAAGAATTTACAAGATTATTCTGTATTCTTACATCCTATGAACTAAGTTTCTCTGTTTTTCCACTTATCCATCATGAATGTTTGCGCAATTGATTATGTAATAGATTGCCATCTCTTTAAATGATTATAATTTAACAATACAGTTGATTGCAGTGAAAAAAACTGACCTACATACATTGAATTCAGTCTACACCCAATCAATATTGATCATACCTTATAAAAAATATTTTTTTAAAATGATAAACTCAATCTTTAACTTAAATTAAAAGAAATTAAACTCTACAATGGTTTTCATCTCACACAATTAAGGTTGATATTTCTCTTAGAAACTATTGATTTTAATATTCCTAAACCCTGAGGATTATTTATTTGTATGGAGTGGGGGGGGGAATTTATGAAAAATAGTAGATTTTTCATAGTTTAAATAACGAACTGATGTTATTGCGATCAACATTAAAAACCAAGAAGCACTGTGTTATGAATACTTACTACTAAAAAGTTCCATACTGGGAAGAAACAACTGTCTAGTACTTTCAAGTTTTTAAAGATAATGTAGCTAAAACCAGTTCGTGATTTAAACTACAGAAATGATTATATTATTGTTTTAATTCATTTAAGTTTACCCAATACCCAATAAATAATACAACTTAAAGTATAAAAAAAAAAATAGTAATGAATTCTTAAGAAGTTTATTAATTCATTTATTTATGAAATGTTTAAAATATTAAATATGATAAATCTTGATGATAACTGTTGTTAAGATACCTAATGCATTGAAATGAATTGAACATAGTAAATTACTTGAATAAATTCAATATTAAACAGATAATATGTATGTATCATCTTTTGTTTGTTGACGAGCCAATACTTCCTACAATGAAATATATTAATATAGGGATATATAATTTTGTATTTTGCCGAAATATTAAAGATATATAATTCAAACAAGGGATCGTTTTTGTAATGAATTTATTATCAAGCATTTCATCTAATCAAATCTTATTGATGTTATGTATGTTGGTGATCTTAGCACTTACACTATATAAATTGTGATAGAGTTTCATTCACTGAGATGGAGTGTTTAATCGTAGAGCTTCTAAATATCATCATCAGCAGCATAAAATTTTGGTAGAAGTGAGGTACATGAACTTTTCTATATACAATTGACGGCTAATCCTGTCGACCTTGATTTTGATTAGTTACTGATGACCTTTAACCTGTTGTTGTTTCTCTTTTTGATCTGATTCTTGACCCCATAGTTGTCCTCGATATTTCTATTTGGTTAACAAAATGAAGCGATTTTTATGTGTTTAATGATTTCTAATTGATATGAGTGTTCAGATTCTGAAAATTCTGCGGTTTTGTTAGTATTCCCTCTATATAAAATCTCAAGACTGTCCTAATCGACTACATATTCACAATTATCCACGTACACTGATGAAAGTGGAGATACATCATGGAATCGAAAAGTTAGTAGATGTTCATGCAGCGTAAATGAAATGAATGTCCATTTTATTAGTTATAATGTTCATCGCATTTGGAACAGTTTATTCTGTAGATGATTTTCTTGTCATTTCACCCTTTGATTTGATCGAAGTAATACTACTGAGTATTAAAGTCCTTCTATTGCACCACCAGATCTATAATTCGCACCCAATTTTGCAAGGAATTCGACTTTAAAAACTCCATATATATAAAGATACTACAAGCTGCTACCTTGACGTGGTGGTCGAGCTTGCCTATCGTGACGACCCAACCGAGCTATATTGGCTGAAACATATGTCCCTCCAGGTTCTACCATGCCAGGCAGGTCGATTAGAGAACGGTAAGACTAAAAGCAGCAGCCCAAGGTCTGAAGGCGAAGTAGTACTGCTGACTGCACAGAGGTGTGACAGCAGTAAGGTGTTTCCCTCGGACAACCAGCATCTGCAGCGATGCTGCCTTCTCACAAGGAAGGAAGGGGTTAGAAAAGGTTGAAGCTAGAAATGTCACACCTCACCTTACCCCACGGATTTCCGTCTCCGGAGGTAAGGAGCTTTGAAGAACGGAGCTAACACATCAAAAACCTCCCACGAAAACGCCGTGCGCAACCGGCATCAATCAGTTGTCCCTTCGGCTCTGTGGTCACACTCCCAGGTCTTCAAGACCAACACTTATCCGATTTCCTTTTCAGGTTCCTCAAGAAATACCCTTCCATGGTGTGGGCAGCCGGGAAGTGACATCAGCCCTCATACCCGTAACAGCACACGAGACCAAGTTGACTGACTGACAAGCAGTAATTGAGTGTATAACAAAGTACACAAATTTAACTTTAGCTCATCAATAAACTTACTTTATCTATTGATTCATGTTTACTCTCTTCTTCTATTAACATTTCAGACGTTTTCTAACGAATGAGAAAGCACATATGAAACATATGTATTCCTTGAAGCTCTTTTTATTCAAGTAAGTTAACTTATATTCATTAATGTTATGGTTTCCTAAGAGTTTATCAAATCATTCGATTCACTATCATCAAGTAATTTTAATTGTCAACTATTATAATAAGAATTTTTAAAACAACCTATTAGTAATAATGAAACTAATTTAAATTACGAAATGAATTTAGCCAAATCCCTATTGAAAACTAGAAAATAATGGGCAACAGTTTCATATTAGTGTCAGATCACTCAAGATCATGTATTTTAAAACCCCACGGATAGAAATCAAACTCAATAACTAAATTTGCATCAAATTTAATTTTATTAACTCTCAGTTAGATTATTTTTCAGTTCACATAATTTCATTGTCTACTTACAAACTAATTCATGATTCATGAATCAATCGAAGCTAGACCACCATTGAAAACCTGGAAGCGCTGGACGGCTGTTTCCTCCAACTGTGGGATGCCTCAGCAGAGCATGCACCAACGGCTTTATGGTTGGGATTCGGATCCAAAACCCTCGGTCTCGCGCGTGTACCACTAATCTCCAAACCATTCAGCTGGCCTCCAACGGTATCAGTGTCTCACCTCAATCGATCCATGATCCATCTATCACCAAATGTTACTTAGTAGAAACAAATCAGACGAATGTACAATGTATAATTCAACAAACATAATCACTCACATTCAATTGACTTATTACAACAAGAAATATGATTATAAGGAAACCAAACAGAGTTATTCCAGTTTGAAATATCATAGAACTTGGGGAATGTCTCCACTCAGAATGAAATTGTCTCACAATAACTGTGATGTTGACTAGTGTAAATGAAAGTATTCCAAACATTGCTATTATGAACTGAACGCTTCTTGAAGATAATGAAACATTTTGATCATTTCTTTTTTTTTCAGACTAGAGAAAAACAATACCATTGAAACATTTAATTTCCATATAGTAGGCATTTTGAAAACTACATTTTAAAGCAATAAATCTAATGTGAAGGACTGGAAGACAGTTAATTCATTTCTGAAGGCTTAAAACGTCCCACTTTTGGTTTTAAGTACTTAAACTGATCGGTCTCTTTTCGGTACATGTGTATCCTATGCAAACTACCGAGATATTGCCGTCAGTCACGTGAATTTCCAAGCACAGATGAATAGTGCTTAGCAGAGGGATCCAAGACGAGTGTTTTGTCAGTAGCTAAGTGGATTACTTATTAGGTGTTTGAGGCAAAAGCCGCTGATTTCAGTGCTGGTGTAAATATCAACACAAGTGCAGGCAAATCCAGTTGACGAGTACAGAAAGCACGAAATACATCTCTTGAATCCCACTATCTATCTGTATTTAGAAATTTTTAAAAAGTTGTTGTAAGGTTATAGAAAATAATTTACTAAGTACATTTCAGAAGTTTAACAGATTGAATTCTAACATATCTACAACACAAAGACTACACATTTTTCACCTAATTATCCAACCTTAATATACGCGACTCTGTCATATTATTCAGATAACTGGATATACATTACTTTGACTTACTGGGTGAATAACTAAAATTCCAGGGGATTTTCTCAGATAATTAGTTTATTTAGTAACAAGTTCTGATTTAAAGCTATCAACCTTAAAACGTAGCTGTAAAATCTATTTATTACTGAATCATTATACATGTTAATCTATACATTTACAAGTTAGTATTTAACCTTTAGTCATGAGATATATTGACAGACAGATTGAATAATGAAAGGCTTCATTATTTGTTTCAGTTATAGCCCATTTCTTTAGGGTGTGTCAAAAGACCAATACTCTAATAACTAGTAAAAACGTTACTCTGTTACAAACTTTACTTGCTAAACTTTGACGAATAACATTAAACAGGTGAGGATAAACCCCACTCTCGTTTGCAATTTGTCCCTTATACCTGGCAGTCAATCAAAATGAAACGGGAATTATTATTTACATCAACATAATCCATGATGGAAGGAGTGTTTCGTTATCTGTCGTTTTTTCTGGCTTACATGAAAAATGTAAAGTTTTCTTCAACGAAAATATCACTCTGTCATGCTACGGACGTGTCAAGTGTAGCACACTCAGTCACGATAGAGGAAAAATGACTACATAGCAAACGTCGTATCGCCAAATAATCCCATAATATAAATTAGTCCAACATATCTATAGTTGAGTGACTGAATAAACCGAAACGTAACCGTTATCACTGACTACACTACGTTCAGATGAATTGACAACGTAGAGTTCATCCCCAGAACATTAAACCGACTCTGTTTTAAATTTTCTTTCATTGCCAGCCCATGAATTAAAGTAGATTTTTTCACACCTTTTCCCTTGCTATCCTCAAACCTATCCTCCAATAATATCGATAGTTCTAAAAAGGATTTTACAGGTTATCATTGTTTTAGTGTTGATATAAAAGCCAATAACTTGTGTGATGATGAACATTTAGATAACAATCAGTCCGACTAGTCACTCTATCGCTACTTCAAATTCATGCTGTTTCCAGTAACGTTTCCGTCGCTGGAAGCGCTCAAGCATACAGTAAGAAACTTCAAGAAGGTAACATTTTGTCATTCATTCTCAGTACCATCAGAATGGGAAACCGTACATTAAAATTATGTGTTGTAGTATTGGTCGTACAGCTGTCAGAAGAAATCCTAGTCGTTCCCAAGGAACGAGGTAAGTGTAACAATTTTATAAGGCTGTTTCTCCTAGTGCTTCATCAAAATGCGGTTGTCCATGATTTATATTTTCAAAGGAAATAAATGGATATAGGGCTTTACTTTGCGGAAAAATGAACCACAACCATGAATGCAATTCATTGGTTTATCACAATAGATCATGGATTTCATGGATGATCGTACTGCATTAGTGATTTTGAAATTAAATCATCCAAAAACCATGTAATTGAATTCAGAGAAAATCCTGTTTGAGTAACTTGAATTTTAGAGAGTGATCACTAGTGATAATCTGAAAAACCATCTCTTATGATAAATTCCAAACATATTTCATTATAACAAACTACAATACTATTTAACTAAATCATTTTCTTGTACGCTTGTCTTTGTACGATATATTAATATTGTAGCTGCTTCTATGCTATTATAAATCCATGTGACTGATCCTAACAATTGAACAGACTTTAATAACTCAGATAGTGTATTACTACTGTGTCAATTCTACCATCCTCGTAATTTTATCCTATCCATAGAATATTGTGACATTCAGTAGATATACCTCTTATATTCGTGTTCTTATAATCCTACGCTAACACATCTCATATATGCCTCCGTGTGTGTCCTTATACACTTATTGTTTCTATCCAATATTTGTCTCTTTATTGCCCTATGCATTGGTTATTTCAGATTAGATTACAGCATATTAAGAATAATATTTTTAGTAGGCATAGCTGACTTCTCCTATCCTTTTTTCATCTCTTCGTCTGTTTGTCGAGGAGAATGTATGAAATATAAACAACCAAAACATTTGTATTCGACTTTTTCTGTTCACATTGTTATTAAAGAGATTTATCAACGGAGTATATACGATTTAGATGGAATCTTTATTTGACCTACATTATAAAGATTGTTCATTGAAGTTGTTTGAAATCTCATTGAAGTACAGTTCCCTTCATAATGTAGGCAAAGTCAAACTGTGATCAAATTTATCTTTTATATTTCAATATATAATCAATTTCGGATAATTAGTTTATAATTGACTTGGTTATATAAGTCAGCAAAATCTTTTGAAACATTCTTATGAAAGTCTACTGATTATATCCTTAATAAACACCATAAAAAACTTCAACCAGAATAATGTATTCATAAATTGTATGTTACCAGTGTGCTTTGGATAATGTTTATAAAATGATGTTATTTCTTCTTCATACGATAAATACATTATGATATGCAACCTTTAATAATCAGTTATCATTTGAATTAGATGGTTCGTTTTTCTCTATTTAAATTGAATGGAGTCACATATCTTTTACTTATTATAATGAATGAATATTTCTCATGTTTTATAGTCTTTTCAATGGTTGAGATCATGAATCGATAAAAGCCGTCCAGTGCTTCCTTGTTTTCCATGGTGGTCTAACTTCAAACGGCTTATGATCTCAACCATTGAATTTACTATAATATTCACAAAAAACCCTTATGATATAATCTTTTCGTTTGTTATTTGTTTACATCGTGAAATTATGTAATTAATTGTTTATTTGTTAATAAATGTATCTGTTATTTTAACAAGCATATAAGAAATATCAAGTGTGAGTCAGTTATTCACAGCAGGTAATGAATGAAGGTTGTGAAATATTGCAAATTGATTGAAATTAAACATATACACCATTGGATGCTCGCTTAATGGTTCAAAGGTTTATCATACGTGCGTGAAATTGAAAGTTGTGGGTTAGACTCTTTATGATGAAGTTGTGAATACGCACTGCTGAGTAACCTTATACTCAAACGAAACGGAAGTGCAGTTCATCCAGGTTTCTAAGAATAGTCTAACTAAAATCAGCTAGTTACTTAGACTATGAGAATTCTATCATCTCCACCGATCCCTTTATACTAATATAAAAGATTTATGAATGAACTTGTTAAGAGAACTTTTTCATAAAACTATATTAAAAATTAATTATCAACCAAACCAATGGATAATATGAGTTAGATCCTTTTTTATATGACTCATTATCTGTTATTTGATTATACATATGTTCGAGGGTTGTGGAGATTGTTGACGGTTATTGAGATTGCAAACCAACATAAGTTAGAAAACTAGTGAAAACCTGGAAGCACTGGACAGTTGTTTCGCCCTAGTTTGAGACTCTTCATATGTGTATATCCAATACCTCACCATCAAGGGTTGACCCTAGAACTTTCGACCTGGAAAGAGTGTCCACAGCATGCAATGAATCATGATCTTCTAGTATCGTAGAATGATTAATGTTGAACATGTATACCATTAGAGCCGAACTCAATGGTCTAGAGATTAAGTGTTTCTGAACTAAACCGAAAGTCATGGCGGGTTTGTGAATATGTACTGTTCAAGATTCCCACACTAGGACAAAAGAAATTATCTACTATTTTCAGTCTTACATTCATTGTTTAATTTAGATTCTTACAATTGAAGAACATATGAAACTCAGAACAGTTCTGCTGTATGGAGCTAAAACTTGAAGAACTACTACAACCATCATCAACAATTTACAAGTATTTATAAATAGCTCTCTACGCAAGATACTCAATATCCATTGGCCGGATACTATCATTAACAGCCTACTGTGCGAGAGAATAAACCAGCTTCCAGCTGAAGAAGAAATTAAGAAAAGACGATGGAAATGGATAAGAAATACATTAAGTAAATCATCAAACTGCATCACGAGGCAAGCCATAACTTGGAACCCTGAAGGGAAGCAGAAAAGAGGAAAGCCAAAGAACACATTACTTCGGGAAATAAAATCAGATATGAAAAGGATAAATAACAACTAGAAAGAACTAGAAAGGATTGCCCAGGACAAGGTTGGATGGAGAATGTCGGTGAGCGGCTTATGCTCCTTCACGAGGAGTAGCAGGCGTAAGTAAGTTTAACTTAGATCTGTTCATGATTTTGATTGACTTTATTTTAATTCTGATTATTCATAATAAATAAGCTTCAATAGATAGAATATTTTACTTTGAAATGATCAACTATAAATGAGTTAATAAATAAACTACAATTCATATGTGAATCAACAATTAAATTATACAAATAATTCATAAAATTTAAATATTCCTAATTAGCTTACCATTTTGTAAAAATTAATAATAGTTACTAACTGTTTATTGTATACACCATTGATATAGTAATAATGATCATGACCTTTGAGTATTTTATATCTATCTTAAAAAATAAAAATAAAAAACAACAATTTCCAAGTGTTTTCTATTGATAATGTACTTTAATTGATTAAAATAAAACTTTGATTTAATGATTTTTATAATTAATATAAATGACATAATCATACTTTGTTCCATGTTCAATGTAATCTATGCATTATAGTAATAATACATAGATTCTGTGAAATGAGACCGAAACATTATTATTGTTGTTGTTGTTGCTTAATAACGAAAAGTTTATTTAAAATTTGAAATAATTAGTCCTTTTGATATATTTCGTCCTGATAGTCATCTACCATTTCGATAGTGTAATATGAAGATGAAGATTATACAGAATTATGTGATATATTAACCTCTTTATTGTATATAAATAACAGTTTAAATTGACTTAGTGTTGTTTTACGTGTATCTCCCCATTGTTATTTAGTTCTGCAATTGATCAGTCTCATGTTGGCATATGTACATCCTGTGAGGATTGCCTTGATATAGCCTTAAGTCACAAGTTTTTTAAGCAAAGATATATAGTGGGTACCAATGGGATCCGGTACGTGAGTTTGGTCCTATTTGAGACTCGTCAGCTGGATCGACCTGCATCCCAGAGTTGAAGTTCACTCCGAGACTTAAACCAAGTACCATTCACTTTAAACCTCATCACGTTATCCACCTAGGTATTGAGTCCTGAAAGTCACCTACAATTTCGATAGTGTAATATGAAGCTGAAGTTTATACAGAACTATGTGATATATTAACCTCTTTATTGTATATAAAAAATAGTTTGTTCTCATTTTGAATCTACCCTGGTAATATTAATTTATCATTTAGCATGGTGAGTTTCATATTATTTTTCATATTATTTACTTTATTATCTTCATTTCCTTTTACCCTCCATTTTTAGTTTAGCCGACCTTTTATTTTTAAATTCTGAACAAGTAACTGTATGATAAGATTGTTCGAAAAGTATTGCTCTAATATTTCACTTAGTTTTGATAATCTTTGTCATTTAAAGTTGTTTATTGTGACTTTACTTGAGTCAAAAATGAAAATAGGCTGAAAAAATTATTTTTTTTAATAATTCAAATCTTTGAAGATGGATTGTACAATGTAAGTCTTGGTGGATTTGATCTAGAAATAATTAGTTGGACAATCTAAATAGTATTGTGGTATGTGTTACTTATGTCGGCAAACATAAGTAGTATGCAATATCACTCGGAAGTGAAAAACTTGACGTCAGAAGGCAAAGAAGATTGAGTTGGAGGAAACAATTTTGTATTAAACAAACTGGTTATATCCAGCTGTGTTCTCGTTTATTAAAGTACTTGTTGTTACAGAAACATGTAACGGTTGTCTAGAAAAATATCGTACACCTAAGTTATTTATTTATAAATTCAGTAACAATATAATTATGCTGTATTGAACATGACAGGATTTTCTACTGATCAGTCGTTAAATACTACACCGTGGAACACTGTCTAAAGCCTAGTTTTGGTAAATTTGGACAGATCATTTATAAAGCGAACAGTGCCGATTTTGAGTCCCGGGGTGAACATCAACTCTGGCTTGCAGGTTCATTCAGTTGATGAGTCCCGAGTGGGACGAAACCCGTTTCCCAGAATGCAGTATGACTATATGAACCTGGTGAGTCGTCGAAAGCAATGGCAACGTTTCAATGAGGAAATCTCTGCTGAGATCACACTGAGCAACTAGGTAACGAGACACACTCTCATGAATTGTGTTTATCAAAGCCAACTGCATCGGTATACAGTTACATATTGATTCAACTTAGACTATTATCAATAATCGCGTTAATCGATCACATTCAAATCAAACACCCAACTTCATTTTAAAATTTTTTACGAAGTCATATCTAATACCTTTATATATGCATATACTTGAGTGCTCGTTTTCTACTGGGACACGGGAACATGCGTCAGTATGGATGATAAGGAAGCAGTTAGAAGTTCCACAATTGAATAATTCTACTGATTCACAGTTTGATCTTAAGGTTGTATGTACGATTCGTTCAAATTTATCTAGATTTCTTCGTATCCAACTACTAAAAATAGCCTAATTTCTTACCATCCATGAGCCCAAGCCAGAACTACGTACAGAAGAATTACGTGCCATCGTTATCATTACCTCGGTCTTAATTTATTATTATTATTGATTTATCTCTATACCTATGTCTCACATTCTCATGATTTTATTCATAGTTGTTCATGATATCACTTCATTTATTTTTTACACTTCTATTACCTTTAATGACTTTTATTTATTGTAACAAAAACATCTTAATGATCTTACTGCATTCACATTATCCTTTGTTACCAACTTATTAAGTCTATTGTTATTATTCATATTACGTAATCTGGTATTATGATCTTTTTCATATGTCCTTATTGATATAGTACTTCAATCTTCTGAAGCCAGACATCCTACTTTCGACTGGTGCTATAAATATCATTCATTTTGACTTTTTTTATGTGATGAAGTAAATCCATGTCACCGGTCTTCTCTTCTTTCTGTGTTGTTGGATTTGAAGTTTCAGTACGAAAGGCAAGTCAGAAAACCGTTTTGCAGGCATAACCGTGACATTCATAACAGAACATATTAATGAATTGATTTTAAATGTCTTCATATTACAGTATAATGTTACTTCAGTTTGTGAATATATTAAAATGTAGTTTAACCAGTAATTTTTTATAAATAATATAGCATCATTAACCCTCTATTTAAGTGAAATTGTCTCCTCTTCTTTTTTTTTCTTAAACTGCTTACTGATACGTTTACAAAAACATGAAGTTATTTTTATATTTCGAATTTCAGCCTACGATCCAATCTTAAGCAATTATTCATCATAGGTCCTGGGTTCGAACCCCTGTGGGCAGGATCGTGGTTGCACACTCTGGAGGATTCCCATAGCAGGAAGAAACGGCCATACAGTGCCTCCAGGTTTTCCATGATTGTCTAGCTTTAATTGATTTATGAATTCAACTATTAAAATTACTACAATATCCACAAAATCGTTTTCTAATTATTCATGATCTAGAAAATAACAAAAAGTAGATGGATATTTTTAAATAATTTAAAGATTGAAATCAACTGGACTTCAGTTTTATTTATACTAGAATACATTTTCAACAGCATTTAAATGCTAATTTATAGAACGAATTGAATTAATCTACGGTATTCCACTTTTTAAAAATGATTAACAGAAAACTAACTATTGTAATATGACTTATTGTTCGTAAATTGTTCCGAGTTTATTACTTACAACTTTTCATATCCCCAATCACTTTTGGGTTGTTTGGGTATGGTTGTAGTTTTTCATTGTATGGTACAATGTGGTCCAGTATGTTTGAATGAGGACCCACATTTGCTTGAAATATAATAACGATGGTGTTACATGCTGGCTTCCCTTTGGATTCAAGAACAGGAGTAGGAAAAAGCTTGGGAATGACAGACCAACAGGGGATTATCTTACACAAACTCAAGGCTAATGGTGTTGGTTTGACATATAGTTGATTAGGTCTAAGACACTAGCCTATATAAGAGATCGTAGACTTGTCATAATGGATTTTTGTTTGGTAACTATGACAAGTGATATCAGTCAGCATCGCAAGCCACAACAACCATTGATATCAGGCACATAGGTTGACAGAACAGCTTGGGTTATGATAAACTGTGATGTGTAGGTGTTGTTTACAAAAGTTCTGAAGCTAAAAATGTATATACTGAAGGAATAGTGTTCATTTTTCATGAAAGAGCATACAAGTTGAGTTTAATATCTGGAGGTATTTAAAAGGTTGAGGGTTAACTAACCGTATAAAACTAAAATATAACTAAGATTAGAAAACAGGCAATAAGTCTAAAGAGAGGAGCAGAATATGAGAATAATCGATACAATCAAATCTGAGATAAAGATAGCAGGTTAATTTATAGGATACACAGTTAGAACTAAAATAAACTGGTTCTGGGTTGGGTGCATTAGTAATAAAATACAGAACAATAAAGTTAAAGTATCCAGATCTATAGTAACTGCAAGCTTCCTATTTGTTAATGTAGCTGCCACAGTATTATATAACAGTTTATCTCTAATTCATGTAAATTTAACAAGAATGGGTCATTTCCATTGAAATATCCAACTTTAAAATAATGCACACAGAAATATGTTTAGCAAATTATACTATTTTTAATATGTAAGTAGTATGAAATATTTAGCAAGACTTTCTGCAAATAGATGGTGACTAATATGAAACCCAAAACTAGCGTTTCGTCCTATCTGTGACTCGCCAACCGTGTGTACCTACAAACCCGGAATTAATGCTCATTCATGTACTCAAATCAGGTATTTCTCACTTGGAACACTATCATTTTATCCACCAGGTTACTGTATACTGATAGCTACTGCCTTATGAATTTGGTAGAATTTTATTTCACATGTATTGTTTGAATTTTTCATTGAGTTTTAGGACTGCACAAGCCAGTAGCTATATAGACTCAGTGGCTAAGTGGATAAATCGGTGGCATTTGAAGCGAATAATACTGAGTTTGAGTCTTGTAGTGAATATCAACTCTGAGTTTGTAGGTAGATTTAGTTGACAAGTCCCAAAGAGAACGAAACGCGCTTCCTAAATCCCACTTCTAGCCACCATTCATCTCTGCTTATAATACTTATGACTTGCCGGTAATATTGAGGCAATCCTCACAGGAAGTACATATACCAAAAGATACTGATTAATTGCAATCATAAACATCGATGGGAAGTTTCAAACAACCAATACATATGAATTATTTTCTAGTAAATAGATAAGGACGTCATTATCACAAGTTCTGAAAACTTTTGATACAAGAAAAATATAGAATATCCTAAGTTAGAAGTATGGAAGTAAATTTTTTTACTTAAACAATACGTAGCAAACGATAGTTAACATTAATTTATTACCAAATATGGAAAAATTAAAAGGAAGATTAGGTCAATGGTAGACTAATGTATTAAATATATTGTATTCTGATGGAATGAATTACATTAAAAAGGTAATGTCTAGTATCATCAAAGAAACTGAAAGTATCGTATCGTCAGAATAAAATAATGCGTTGTAAAATGTAACCGTTTATGAATACATAAAATTCAATGAAAACAGTGATTATTTTATGGATAGTATCAAAGATACTGTTGTGGTTTGTGCTAATTATATCGAGATAAGTTGTATATAACGCTAGTCAGGAACAGAATATCTGTCAGCATAAGGTCAATAAGATGAAGGAGGACAGAACAGGAACAGAAAGCAATTGGTATGGAAATGCAGGAACATTGAAATCTGAGACGATTGACTGATATTTGCAAAAGGAACAGTCAAGTTTGAGACAAATGATTGACATTTTGCAAATGAGATATTCACAGTATGGTTTTGAGATTTATTTAGATGCATTTGATTGACCCCAATTGTGTTTTCGTTCACTACATTGTATACCTAAATAAAATGTATGAGAAAGAAAATCTTTCTTTATATCGTACATCGACTTGTAGTGATTTTCTTCCAGTTAATCTTAACACATGTCCATGAATTCAGTTTAATAATTTTTAGTGAATGTTAATTGTATTTAGTTAATTGATGTTCAATTCATTTTCTGTTTAATGGTTATTTCACAATGATGTTATACTTAGTAACAATTGTTCACTTCATAAAACTTTGTAATTAATACTCACGAGATTGATAAATAATAAAATTAGCTTGAATATGAATTCGATAATCTTCTTGATCCCATTTAATAGATCTTCTTAACAAGATTAGTCTTTTTAATTGATTATGGTAAGAGGTTAGAAGCAAGCAAAGGTGTTGCATATAATATTACAGTTGTCATTAGAGTTATCGTCGTGTAATCTAAATCGTTAACAGAAAGACTAGCAGAAGAATTAAACCAGAAGTTTATGAACAATTCAAAAATAAACGGAATTTCGAACTCCCTTTTCTAATGTGTCTGAAAAAATTGTATTTAACTAATTTATCATCTGAATGTGTGGAGTTCATCAGTTATATTTAACATATACCAGAACAGTGAGAGTATACTGATACTTTTAATCTATAAAACATTTCCACTACAGACTATTTTCTTTACTAATAACTAGTTAACTCTTAGATTATGTTAATAATTTTCTGGGTTATCATATTATATATGCGGTTCAGTTTGATTTAGAATTAGATTATTGCACAATCTAGATTAATGTAATTATAGTTTCAATTAATAATACTATGGAAAATGAAATTTATTTCGTCCGACTTTTTTAAGCATTAAATTATTCATTGACTCCGGTTCCTATTTGTTCAAGATCCTAGTAAACAAATAAGCAGATTCATTTTAAATGTAGCAATATTTATAAAATGGTTTATTAAAAAATATATTCTTATTAGGCCCGTGATTTCTGTAAAGTTCAGCGATCTCTACAACTCCATATTGATAGTTATCATATGCTCGTTGGTGACTACTTCTGAAAAGTAAATTAAAGGAGTTCTAGTGAGAAGTGGGGATCATTGGAGTTAAACTGTGTCGAGTATGAGTAAGTTATCCTCCAAAGACAATGGAAGGAGGTCACTTAATTTCATGGAGTGATTAAAGTTAGATTTGTACACAATCGGATACCTGCTCAATGATCTAGAGGTTAAGCTCACATGTGTGAGAATGAAAGTCCTGGGTTAGGTTTCACTTATAGGGTCGTGGATGAACACCTCTGAAGAACCTCCTACCAGGAAGCAACGGCTATCTAATGCTTTCAGTATTTTAATGATTATTTGACTTAAACGGAATTCTTAATTAATTGAAAATCTGTTTATTATATAAATTCGAAAACACTGAAACTAAATAGTATGAGCATGTTCAGTAACAAACATTACTAAACAAGAGAATTAATGTTGCATAAGTATTTTGAGACACAGGAAGTTGTATAAATCCTAGACACATGAATTGAATTTCAGCTTCATATAGCTGACAAAATACAATCAACAAAACATTTACAGAGTCTAGACTACTCATAATGTTTCTTTCCAGACTCTTACAATCAGTTTTTTTGTTTATTTAATAGGTATGTATTTCATAGTACAGTATAATTTTCACTCATAATGTCATTTAAAACCCATACATTTAATAAATACTTATGCATTTCATTTTAAACATCAGAATGTACTTCAATGAACACGTTTATAACAGACAACTATAGATTAAAATAGGATCTTTAGTAAGAATGACACTTTTATATACACTACTCACTTGCTAAATGAATATATAAATGATCAAAAGGGTCATATACGATGATCATATTAAGATACACTGAAAGGATTAAAAATAAGCTTAGTCTTTTAAATCAATAATAATAATAATCATGAAATCATCAAGGCTTGATGACTTTTTGAAGTACACTGTATAGATCAAATAGTTATCTTATAAAATATCATACTATTCACTTCTATAATGAAGAATTCACTGGGTAACTTATTATCAATTTTTTGAAATATAAAAGTGATCAAGATCAAAGTCAATTGATTAATAAATAAAATAAAATAAATTACTTTTCAATTAAATTTAACAACAATAAATTACAAATTATATTTATATTTTATTAAAAATTTCATTATAGATTAATGTATTATTTGAAAAAACTTTGGCGCCTTTTTATTCAACTATTTATAGTATTGAATTTCTGAACTCATATAAATAAGATAATTCAAGATTGAAATCAAAAACAAACAAACAAACAGAAAACAAGACGGACAAGAAGAAGAAGGGAAAAAAGTGGAAAGAAAAACACAGAACAATCTAGGAAAACAAATGGAAAGATGAGATTTATTGTAATTTATATTATGAATATGCATAAAATACAATTATGCAATGATTCTTGTAAAATTTCATATCAAGTATAAAGATTAAATTAAATATATAAGAAAATGGAGACCACACTACATACATACATACATACATACATACATACATATGTATATCACATCATTCTACAGGACAGAAATGAAGGGATAAAGGAAAATCAAACTATTATGATTATTATTATTAACTGAATGAAATAAATAAGTAAATAAGTCTATGACAATTCTTAAAATCATAATGTTTATATTAATGAACATTTGGTATATTTTATTTTTATGATAAGGGAATGATATGTATGAATGTATGTGTGGGTGTGTGTGGGTGGGTCGTCGGGTAAATGGGTGGGTGGGTGATTGGGTATAAGTATGTATCATTAGGTAATAGGATAAATTGATTGACCTGTTATATAATATTAGAATGGAATGTTTTCAAATTATACAATTTATATTTAACATTCATTTAAAATTATCGAACTGATTGAGATAAATTATCCGAATATGATGATAAATTATTTGTTGAACATAATAAATCAGATTTAATATCATTTTGTTGTATTAAATTATCGATTAATGATCCATTATTTGAATTTGATGATGGAACATGTACATAAATATTAAAATCTGAATTTATTGATTTTGTATAAAGATTATCAGTTTTTTCTTCATTATAATCATATGTATTAGTTATACATGGATATAAATTTTGACAATTTATCTCTTTTAATTGATTTATATTTTGTGTTGTATTATATTGATTTATTGAATTCATTTCTTTTTGTTTTAATCTATCTGTATAAATTTGATTGGTAATATTTCGACGAAATTTAGCGCGTGCATTTTGAAACCATACCTAAAATGAAATAAAATCAATGTTATATTATTTGTTTATATATATATATATATATATATATATATATATATATATATATATATATTAAAACTATGGTTAGATTACATAGAGATTAGATATAAGTTTATGAATTTATAACTTATTTGTTTTCTGTTGATCAATATATATGAGGTATTAAGGATAGCCAGAATGATCACCAGACAAAAAACGAGAGTAACTGAAGAGATGCTCCATGTTCTATTCAAGAAGATTTGGTAAGGAGAAAAAGTGCCCCATTCACATATCAAAGAAAGGAGATTGTAACAAGTGTTAAAACTAAAGACCGATCATACTACTAAAGGAATTAGGAAAATTTTTCAACAGAGTGTTGCCAAACTGGATGAAAGATTCAGTCGATGTACAGCTTCGAGATCAACTAACCAGATTCCGTAGGAATCGGTTGTGCACAAACCAAATCACGACACTATGGAGTCTAGTTGAGCAACCATCAACTTCCTTGACAATGAGAAAGCATTTGACAGCAACGACAGGATGACTTCATGGAGTCTTCTTCGACACTATGGAGTACTTGAGAAAATTATCAACATCCTCCAGAATTCATACGACTGAATACCCTAAAACGTGGTGCCTGGAGGACATCTGACAGATGCATTCCAAGTAAGGACTGTTGTCAGACAAGTCTGCCAACTTTCCTCCCTCCTCTTCATTCTAATGGTTGATTAGATTATGAAGTCCTCCACATCTCAGAAGAAGCACCAATACGACGGACAGGCTAGATGCAACTTGAGGATTTGGAATTTGCAGATGACCTGGTTCTTTATCCCATACACACCAACAAGTGCGGGTGAAGACAACCAGTGTGACAGGAGCCACTGAATCACTGGGCCTCAACATACACAAACAAAAACGCAAGATCCTCAAATACAACAAGGAGAGCGCCAACACAACTACATTCGATGGAGAAACTCTGGAAGAGGTGGAATCATTCATGTACCTGGGAAGTATCGTCGATGAAGAAGGAGGATCTGATTTAGACGTGGAAGCCAGAATTGGCAAAGAGAGGGTCTCATTCTTACAACTGAAGAATATATAGAACTCAAAGCAACCATCAATCAACATTGAAGTCAAAATATTCAATACAAACGTCAAGACAGTTTAGGTGAATGTATATAATCATGAAGTAGGTTGTAAGTAGACAATGAAATTATGTGAGTTGAAAAACAACCATACTGAGAGTTAACAAAATAAAATTTGATTTTAATATGGTTGCTGATTTTGATCTCTGTCGGTGTGGTTGTAAAATACATGCTGCTGTGTGATCTGATCTAATTCTTAATAGTGATTCAAACTATAATAAATAATTTTGCAGTCTTTTAAAACAATGAAAAATAAGTTATTATATATTGAATTTTACATAATAAAAGAAAACGTCAACTTTCAGTAAAATAATAATGAACTTCAAGTATTAATTTTAATAACCATTCAAATAAGCACAAATAAATGGCTATCAGGACTCCGTAGCTAAATGAATAACGCGATAGCACTTGAAGCAAACGGTATTGGGTTCGAGCCCCAGAATGAACATCAACTTTGAGATGCAGGTATTTCCAGCTGATGATTCCTAAATAGGATGAAACGAGTGTCATTGATTCCACTGCTAGTCACTATCAATCATTGTTTATAAAGCTTGTAAATTAAAGCTATATTGAAACAATACACACAATATGCACATATGTCAATATGAGAGACTAATCAATTGCAGTCCTAAACATCAATGGGAAGATTCAAGTAAAACAATACCAAGTGAATTTAAACTTCACCCCATTACACAAGCAAGTGACTATCAGGACTCAGTAGCTCAGTGAATAACACAATAACATTTTAAGTAAACGGTACTGGGTTCAAGTTACAGAGTGACCATCAACTCTGAGATGCAATTGCATCCAGCTGGTGATTTCACTGCTAATCACTATCCATCTTTGCTTATTTAAATAAGCTTTACTGATTATAAAGAGAAAAAAACAACAACTGTATTCTACTTACCTGTAAAACACGTTTAGATAAACCAGTTTTTTGTGATAATTGTTTTAAATCTTTAGAATCAGGATTATGACTAAATTCAAAATAAGATTTCATTATTCTTAATTGTTGATGTTTAAATGATGTACGTATTCGTTTAATTTTTCCATTATTTTTATCTATTCGTCTATGAAGTTTTTCATTAGATATTAAACGTTCATTTTCTGATTTTTTTATAAATTTAATTGATTTTATCGATTTTATTTGTTCTGATTTTGTATCTGTAATAAAAATTAAATTAGAAAACTTTAAAAATTGATCAATACTAATCAATAAAAAAGAAAAGTATATTAATCAAATAAATGTTTAATTTAACATATTCTAACTAAAAGAGGAGCCTAATAATTTCAATATTCTCTTCATGTAATACTTCTCATGTAATTCTATTCTTTTAAGGTTTATAAAAAGTTATCCAGTTTATATACGAATATTTGTCAAGATGAAAACGAATAGTTTGACGAAGATTGAGCGCTGAGTATAGAGAAGTCATTGTATGTCGAAACTTCTTCAGGGTAATAATCAAAATCGAAAATTTTTGATCCAAGATCACGATTATTATTCTGAAGAAGTCTAGACGAGTTTGCTAATCGAAACGTTGGAATTATTTTAAATTTCCATCGCTGAGATTAGTTCAAATATAATTTTCACATATCCAGTTTATAGTTTATGCTTTCTATGTTATTGTAACATAGGTTTAGATATCGAATTAAGTAGTGATGCATCGATATGATCTTTTTCAATTTGTCGTTAGCTTACAGCTAAATAAAATGAATCAAATATATACTATAGAATAATGGAGGGTTTTTATGCTAACTTTACAATTTACTACTACCAACTGTAATATAACTACTAATTAAACATTTAATATACTATCAAGTTCAAACTAACACCTTATATATAGTCGGTATAATATAAATAATTATTTGAATAGCATTACTCTTATCCCCTAACAACCTTTTATGGTAGTAAACTCATTGAATGTTGATCAAACTACGACCCATATCGGTAAATATTAACTATATGATCAGGTAGATTCCTCAAGATTTTAAAGCACCAATTTTATAGTTAGTCGTGTCTGTTTTCCATCCAATTATCAACCAGCAGTCACATTATATCATAAAATATATATTTAGAAAAAATTTAAACTATGCAATTAGTACTCAAGAGCTAGGAGGAATTAAGTTTATTGTGGAACTTGAATGATTTTGGATATATTCTTTTGGGATCAATGTTGTGCAGTACTGATGTGTCCCAAATTGAAACAAAACATTCATTCAACATTTTCCGGTCAGTCCCTCCTTAAAACTGTTGAAGGAACTTCTATAAACCACCTGACGTACGTTAATAACCATATAAATAAAGTTTCAAACGGTCATATAGTCAGCTTTAACAACTCTTCATGTTTTTCATCATGGCTCTACACTAATATATATATGATTTACAATAATGATGTAATACTCATTGAGTGGATAAGTTACGTAATAATTACATAATGACATTTAAATTAGCATCTAGTATTTTGGGAGGAAGATGATTAATATTCAAAGTAATTAATAAGTTAAGAAGTTGCTAAGTTGCATAATATATGAAAAGAGGAGGAACAGAATTTGTAATGGTTGGTCAATAGAATAGAAGTTACGTAAGAATCAAGAGATGACTGTTGAGAAATTATAAAGTTTAAAAGAAAAGGAAAAAAAAAAATTAAAAACTATAAACCAAATGCTATAAGTATGGAAAATAGTTCAGTTAAATGGAATGTTATACAGATGGCCATTTAACTGAACTATTTTCCATACTTATAGCATTTGGTTTATAGTTTTTAATTTTTTTTTTTCCTTTTCTTTTAAACTTTATAATTTCTCAACAGTCATCTCTTGATTCTTACGTAACTTCTATTCTATTGACCAACCATTACAAATTCTGTTCCTCCTCTTTTCATATATTATGCAACTTAGCAACTTCTTAACTTATTAATTACTTTGAATATTAATCATCTTCCTCCCAAAATACTAGATGCTAATTTAAATGTCATTATGTAATTATTACGTAACTTATCCACTCAATGAGTATTATATCATTATTGTAAATCATATATATATTAGTGTAGAGCCATGATGAAAAACTAATTGAAAAGAAATTTCTTCGCTCAATTCGTTCCTTCTGTATTTATCAAATGTCCAAATGGGAATTTTCAACTCTTCATGTGATTCGATAGCATATTAAGGATAAAAATGAATACTTTTTTGTTTCAGTCTGTAGTAACCATATTACAGACTATAACTCTCTTCATAGAGCAACTCGACACGATATGTCTATCAGAATCTAATTATTACATAAAAATCGATCTTTAATTTTTCTCTGTGGTCTTTGATAGGTTATTTCACATACAATTCTCTTACATGTTATTAGCCTTCACAAAAGAACTCAATTGAATGACTGTTGATTCCTGACATTTTTCAAATATTCGATACTTAGTCAATTTCAACTACTAAGAGTACAATCTATTTATACATAAATAGCTTATGAATATGACTTTTAAGTCAATGTTACATCAAAAATACATTTTCATTAGTTTAAATGATCATTGATATATTAAGGTTAATGATGCCTTAATTCTTTGGATGCTTTGAATTCACAACAAAATAAAAAAAAACAGATTGTTTCTAAATGAAAAGTTTTCAGTTAATAAAATATCATTCTATGTAGAATATTGAAATAAAACTTAACATCAGGTCAAATTCATTTTGCATTGTTTGTTTAAAGCGAACAGTACTGGGTCCAAGTCCCGAAGTGAACATCGACTCGGATGCATGTATATCTAACTGAAGAGTCCTAAATAGGACGAAACGTACTTCTTGGACTCCATTACTAGCCATCATTCATCTTTGTTTAATATCAGGTCGTTTAAAAATGGTTTAATGACTACATTATGTAAATAAAATGTCACAGAAACTAAGAGTTTTTGATTTTTCCCTGGTAAAATGACAATATATTATTTACAAAATAGTATTTCATCAAGGATATAATGCACAAATTGTATTTTAAAATTGAGTAAAATACGTGACTAAGCCTTAATAATTCCTTTTTAATTTACAAATTAACTTTTAACTATAAAGAACAAAAAGGGAATTTATGAATATTCTAGTTCAGTGCTTCCAGGTTTCCATGGTTGTCTAGCTTCAATTGACTCATGAATTCAACTATTAATTTACTGTCAAAAAGGTTTTTGTGGATATTACAGTAATTTTAATAATTAGGATTGTAGTGACCTACTATTATCAAGAGAATACGATTGGTATAATGGAAACAATTATTATTATAACCAATTGTACCAGTGATTATTTTACTGTACTTGTTTGTTTAACTGTACTAAAAACATACATTGTTCCGTTGACTGTGACCTTGCACACTCTCGGTTACGCCCGGTAGTTTCACTTGAACTCTTTGGCACAATTTCGGTATTCTTTCAATACTACGAGATTGCCAAAAAATACATCTTGCTGCAACCTTCAATTACTTTCTAGTTTTTCGCCTACAAAGGGATCTAACGCAGTAATTGGCATGTAGTTTCAGTGTAGTGGTGATCATAGTCAACCGCAACTTGACGCTACGCTACAACTTTACAAGATCATAAGCTAATTAAAGCCAAACCACCATGAAAAACCTGAAAACACTGGAATGCCGTTTTATCCTATTGTAGGACTACTCAACAGTACACATCCACAACCCCGCCACCCGAGAGATTCCAACTCCAAGACCTATCAATTTTACACACAAAAGCGCTTAATTTATTGTTAAGAATAAAATTATTAAATTAAAATTTCTTATAACTGACTTTTAAATAAATTAACAGATTTCACAGATGTTTTATTCATTACTTCATTTGTTATTGTTTCATTTAATGAAGGTTGTTGTTTATGAATTGAATTTATATTTTCATTATAATTGTTCATTGAAGTTTCACATAAATCTGTTAACATTGATAATTCTCTTTTATTTATAATATGATTTTGATTAGTATCTTTTAATGTCATTATATTATGTACATCTTTATTTGTAGATATAACAGTTTTTGATGTAGAATTAACATTTGTAAAATTTCCAATAGGACATAATGGTGGGGAAGTTGATAATGAAATACATGTCGATGATAATGAAGGTGAAGAAGATGATGATGATGACGATGATGATGATGATGATGACGATGAAGAAGATGAAGAAGAACAAAATGAATATAATGGTGAAGTTAAAACTGTACTAATTGGTGTTCTATTATTGATTGTATTCAATATACAATTTGTATTATTATCATTATTGATACTATCAATTATATGATTAGATTTAGTATTAAATGATTGTGTAACAGTTTCTATACTTGGTAATAAATTAATTTTATCATTATTATTATTATCAATTTCTGGAATATGTTTTGTTTCATTTAATTCATTATAGTTTATAGTTGATAATTTTGAATTTGAATTAACATAATCAGTAATATAATTCATATTTGAATCATTTAAACAAAATTGTGAATTGTTTAATTTATTGAAATCTTTATCATTCAATGAAAAATTTTTAATAGGAATTTGTAAACAATCAGAAAAACATTCATTAATATCTTCATTATGAGCTATAAATATTAATAAAGATAGAAATAAAATAATAATGATAATAATAATAATAAGCATTTTATAAATATATTTATCAGTTTAAAGGTTGTGAAGATTGTTAAGTTTTTGATTGAGATCATGAACCGATTGATGTTAGATCACCATTGAAAACCTAGAAGCATTGAACATCTGTTTCGTTCTATTATGGAACGAAACGGCCAAAAATGAGACCAAATATGCTAAATTCGATTCCCTGAAGTGAAATCGTAGCTCGTCACTTCATAAGAAGTCTCCGACTACTTCCTAATTTTCAACGGTCATCTAACATAAATCAATTGTTAACTTTAATTCATAAAGTACATTTGAATATTCAGTGAAGAATCGAAGAAATTCAGTTAAATTTATTTCAATATTAATCTAAAACTTGAGTCCATAAATCATTATTTCGATTAGGAAATATGATAAATCAATAAGTCTGATAATTAAAGAACAAAAAACCCAACTTACATTTCATTAAATAATTTTGACAATCATCAATATGATTTGAATTAGATAATATTAAAGGAGTTAATTGTTCTGTTGAATAATCAATAACTACATTTTCTATTGAATTTTTTTCATTTGTATTACATAATTGAAGAAGTGAAAAATTTTTTGATTGATTTTTTTCATTATCACTAATTAAACTACTATTATTATTAGTAGTAGTAATATCATAAATAATCGATAAATCATTTTGTTGTTGATATGAGGATTTTGTTAATAAATTTGGTAAATAATTTTTTTTTATGATTTCAAAATTTTTATGAAAATTATTATTTTCTTCAATTAAATTAATTGAATTATTTGATTGTAAAAAATTAATTAAATTAGGGAATTTATTATTTATATTTAATGAATGATGAGATTTTGATATAGTTGATTGAATATAAGAATGATTAGCATCAGTTAATGGATCGGTTGATATTAATGTTTTATCCATAATAAATGATTGATCATCATTAGTATTATTATTAGTAGTAGTATTAGTAGTAGTATGATTATGTAATGAGCATTGAATAGTTTGATTTTCTAATATATATGTATCACCATATTTTAATAATCGACCACAACTATAACAAGTGAAACATGATTCATGATATAAAGTATCATAATTAACTTGAAATATTAAATCATTTTTATTTAATTTAATACCACATCGGAAACAAGAAGAAAGTCTAAAATGAGATAATAAAATATTGGAAGAGAATTAAGATATTTTTTTAAAAAAAGAAATAAATGAATAAAACTAAATGTTTGTATTGTCAAACTGAAGCTACTCAAATCCTCATTATGCCGTTTTCTTTCTGATCTTAAAAAGTATTATGTAACAAAGTCTTTTTTATCTTATCAACAATATATCAGAAAATTTATTCTAATATTCCATCATTGAGTTCAGTGGGTGACTGGCTCACACTTGTCATGGTTGGACTCCATATAGAATTCTTTTTACTGATACATCTCTTGGTGTACGATTAGCATCCTGATAAAAAAAATATATTAGCACAACATCATAGATTGGTTGAAGTTAAATAATAATACCGTTGAATGATGATTCAGTAATCTAAAGATTAAGGGTTCGCGCACGAGATCTAAGGTTCTGGATTTGAAGCTCACATGTGGACCGTGGATGAGTATTGCTGAGAGGGTTATTAATGGTGGTCTAATATTGATTGGTTCATTATTTGAATTAAAACTGAACAATTTTCACAACCTCATACTGAAAAAAATATAGTTGTGATGTAATTTTTTCACTTACAATTAAGTCCTTAACTTATATAAAATGTTTAAATTTCTTGTTCTATGTATAAAAATAATACAATTTGGAGTTACATTATTTGTTTTATATCTCTCAGATTTACATAAGTTAAAACGATGGTTTGTTACATCAACCAAAACGTTTGCTACTATGTAGTCTGAAAAATGTTATTTCCTTTAGATTCTTACATTTGAACTAAGTGCTATGATGAAAGTATATTTGTGTGTATCAAAAACTGTAAGCTGATTGAATATGAATACTCTATAGGCTATTTGAAATAACAGTATAAATTAAAATTACATATTTGAAATCGTGGCTGGGAACTTAATTGTTTGAAGTCAACCGTCAAGTGATCCATGGACTTGGTTTATCGTTAGTCCTTCTATAAGATCTGTTTGAATTTTAAAAGAATAGAAGCCCTCACTCAGTGTTACAGTGAGTGTTACTATATAGTTATTTGTATGGTGACTGGTTTCTTGTTTAAATGAAGTATTCACCTAGAATAACCACTGATTAACAACTTTTTTCACATATGTCTAACTCTTATTCTTGTACAACTTCTGTATGTAAATGTGTAAAATTGCAGATACTTCCTGGTGATCAGTACTGATTGACAAGAAAACTAGTCTTACATCTTCTTGTTAAATACCAGCAATCACTTGACAACTAATAGAGTGTGAAATATTATCGATTTTTTTAAGTTAGTCGATCCATTAGAACGACAGATCTTATTTAACATTAAAATCTATACAACAAAATAACAATCAGTGCATATAACTTATTCAGTGAAGAAACCAGTATAATCGATAATACCATTTTCAAAATTTTTCAAGATATACCACGTTGAAGAGTATGCAATCACATAAAATCTAGTTTAGAGATATTCTAATGTTTATTAACAACTTTTGAGCATAAGAAACGATCTTATAATGACATAACACTTGTTTTGTATATCAAGTTAAATGATCTATTTCACAATAAATATTCAATGGTTTTTAGATAACTGTAATCAGAATATTCATTATATTTGTAATTGAAGTAATAACAGAGAAATTTCATCAGATGACTCTTTGATGAAGGAGGTTTTCTAAATGATATGGTTAGATGAACATTTCAATTGTTAAAATCAATGAATAGTATGCTAGTCAATAGATGAATACAGTGATATGATGAGTGGTTTTGTCCTTAGAATAATTCAAAATTAAAGACAAGACTACTAGTACAGAAGAATAGATCATTTATTTAATTAAAACAACATGATTATATACAGAATGTGAAATCTAGATAAATATGATAAAACGTCACAGCCGATTGACTGAAATTAGTTTACAGGTTACTTATTATGAAATCAGTTGACACTTGATTGTTAGTAGCCCTAAACTTTGAGGATTGTATCAAATAATCATAAATTGATTATAATTTGATATAATAAATTTCAACAAAAGGATTGCAGAGAGAACAAATCTGTGTAGAAAAATAAGTCAGGATACGTATATGTAAAGCATAAATAAGTTTAAAATTTCCTATCGATGATTTGACAAGTAAATCATTTGAAATTTATATTCAGTTGGTTCAGTGTACATTAGTATGATAAAATAAAAATTGTTTTTGATTGAGATCATGAATCAATGAATGTTAAACTACCACTAAAAACCTGGAACCACTGAACGGCCGTTTCATACTAGTATGCGATTCCTTAACATTGCGCACCTACTGGAGTTAATCCGTGTCAAATAGAGACAGATATCTACCTCAGAAAATGGAGGATGGTCGCGCAATTTTGTGTATTGGTTGAAGTTAGACATTAACACCGTTGGAGGTCAAGCATTTGCGTGTGAGACTGAATGTCCTGGGTTTGAGTCCCGTATGCAGGATCATGGATGAGCACTACTAAGGAGTCCCATACTAGAACAAAACGGCTGTCCAGTACTTCCAAGTTTTCATTGATCCGCTAACATTCATCGATTCATGATCTCAAACAAAAACTTAACAATTTCCACAACCTCGCGCTGAAAATAATAATTATAAAATGCATGTAACAAATTCATTCTGTGAAAACAAAGATAAAAACAATAAATAGATCACATGACTTTAGATTATTCAAGAAAATGTGAAAATGCTAACTCTAAAATTTGACAATGTTAAAACAAATATTCATTAATAAATAAGATTATTTCAATATTATGAGTGAAGAAGGTATAAAGAAACTTAAAGTACAACTTTAAATAAAAATAAGAGATTTTTTGGCTACTTTTAAATAATCATTTTCATAAACTACAGGTATTGTTTTAACAGATTAAAAAGTGGATTGAAATTCACAAGGTCATTCATAACAACAATCAACGTCGACCAGATAGTACGTTAAAATTCTTTGTATACAATGAAAAATATTTGAGCTAAATGATAAAATTGTTAAGCTAGTAGTTACAGATCATAAATGATCTAAAAGTATCATGTCTAACTCCAATCAATCCACGATAATGCGCAACCGTCTACCAATGTCTTCAAGGGGTAACTGCCTCGATAGCAAACACGGTCGAACTTCATTGTTCACTGCTTCTCACAAGAACTTTAGGAAATACTTCATGAAGCCAGTCACTTGTGAGCAAATGATAATTATTATCCATCTAGGACTTCCAGGTTTCCCATGGTGGTCTAACTTTAATCGACTCATGAATTCAACTATGTAAAAATTATTACAATATCCACAAAACCCCATTCTGAAAATAATGATTATTATTTGGATTACACACCATCTAAATAAACTGAAGAATCATAGTCATTCATACGTTTACATGGTAAAGAGAAATTTATTTCTATAGAAGGATGGAAAAGATTGCATCATTAAATGATTCGAAATCCTTATTATCAAATAAGGTTATGCCAGAATCAGAGGGTAAGAGAAGAATATAAGGATGAAAATAATTTACGGGTTAGAATTATAAAAGGCAATTGTCTACTTGACAGATAAGAAGAAAAATATAAAGATCATAATAATAAGATCTGAATAATAGTCATAAAGAATTGTTAAAAGATAACAATAACTGATTACAGTCAAACAGACAAAACAACAACTTAACAAAAATCGAAGAAATAAATAAAAAAAGGAATTACGGTCAAAAAAGGATGAGAGATTGTAAGTATCGTTTTTGAACGTAGAGTTCGAGCTTGAGTTGGTGGATTGCTAATGCTTCAACAGTGCATAAGCTTTTGATCCGACCTCCCTTCGATCCAGTTTCTTTGAAAGAAGACTCCTTCGGAGCAGTGTGTCCACAGTTGATAAAATGCTCCTATATTGAACTGGTAATTGTTTTGTATTCTCCTCTTAAAAGCCATGCAAGGTAGTGTTTTGAGATGTGTTTAGAAAGTAATCGCTTTGTGTAGCCAATTTATTTTCAAAAAATACTGCTTAGTATAGACTATATGCTAAATCATATATTTTATTAATCAATTAATTATCCCTAAGGTTTCAAATACAATATCATTCTATTATGTAGTTGTCAATCAACAGTTGATTTGTGTTGTATTCCATATACTATCAATGTTACAAGGAAAAAAACCTTTATAGTAATTTAAGTAAAATCATTTCCGACCTATTCATCTCATTTATGAACTATAGAGTATTATTATTCTTATTTTCACAAAAAGTTATTACTAAAGAAACTGAAAAATTCAAATAGGAAGTGAACATTGAAATGATTATTTCATTCCATATACCCACTTGTAATTTATTCTTATATATAGGGTTTATTTATACACAAATATTTGAACATTTTACACGGTGAAATATCTTTAAGTAATAATGGGGTTCTTGATGTGACGAAATTTATTCATCCATTTGTCTAAAGAGCGTTTTAACATTCTAGCTTATGTCAGTTGGTGATGAAAACCTTAAATCTAATTATTAGCCTTAATTATCAACTGTAAATCATAATTCTAATTCCTCGCACTGGTTTATAATCTTTCATTTGGTCCTAGTTAGTAGATGGACATTCTCAAGATCACTTTAGCATCGCTCAAAGGTCGTCTATAAATCATAGTCTCACCGGGTTCCTTAAATATTTCACTTTATATTCAGGGACGTAAAAAAATCGCAGGAAGAATATTCTAATGTATATAGGAAGTGGGAATTCTAGGATCTAATAAGATTTATCAGTATTATATTAAGTTTTAATTTCTAAGAGCTTTCTAAACATTCTTCTGACCGGAAGTTTATTTAGATTTCGGTAACCTCTCATACGTCATAAATATGATACAATGTGTAAATCACACAATTAATTTATTATTATAACTCCCATATAAATGTGATCAATATCTCTATTCCATTCTATTTTATTCAAAATATCTTCTACATAGTAACCAATTACCTCTAGTATATTGCAATGATTTTTAATTAAATTGTAATAAGAATGGTACATC